TGTGCATTAAATACTTACAGAACCTAAGCTTAAAAGTTTGCTGGATCTTTTCAGAGAAATGAAGCACAATTAATGTACACAGAAGTTCTTTTGGGTAACCTGAATTTGTTCATTTGAGTATTGCACTGCAATTGTGCCATGATTCCTTCCTTGTTTAAAATGTTGAGTGCTTTAGTAGGTTTTCATTTAAGATTATTTTTAAAAGGTCAAGTTTAAAGCTGATTTAATTAAAGTATCTTTTGAAGTTAAATATTATTGAAATTTGTAGCACAACTATAAATGGATTTGCTTTGGTTGCACCCTTATTTTTCACCCCATTTCAACTGTTATCCCACAATTTATAAAAATCATGGTTTGTTTTGGAGATTGGTTGAACTTAAATTTAATGATAAATTAACTTAACTTGCTGTATTTCAATGTGCATTTGCTTAGTGGATTGGTTGATTTAATTTAGGTTTAAATTCTTTGAACATTAAAATTGTATTTTGTAGTTGGTGATAAACTATTAAGTGATGTCTCTGCTATTGAAAGTTGATCAAGCAACTCTGCTATTGAACTTTAAATTAGCAATGAGTGGACATTTTAAAAAATCCTAGGGTTACTTTTAATTGGTGTAAAATACCAGTTTTTAAGAAAATTATGTCATTACAATGTGTTAATGTTCAGAATAAAATATACATATAATAAATTGTTAGATAAATATCTCAAGTTTGGTGTTCTTAAATATGTTGAGTCTGTTATAGTTCGTAATTAACATAACTTTCGAACAAAAAAAAATATTTTCACGGAGGAAAAAAAAAAGGAGTAAATTGGGTTGGTGAATATCATTTCTGCTTTCATATCATTTGTTGTTTTCATAGTTTGGCTGAGTAAACATGGATTGGATTACGTTATTGTGAATTGAGAGGAAAGAAACTATTCAGAATTCAGAGTAAAAGTATACATTTTATTTTAAAAACTATTATTGGGTCTGTTTTAATTAACCCTACTTTACTTACCGGAATTGAGTTTAGAAACAAGTTTTGGAACCAACCAAAGTGGTAAAAGTAAGTGGCAAGCTACTCTGTTTTACCCCCAACAAAAATCTGAACGTATCCCATAACCAACAATTGACTGAGCGATTAAATAAACAGCTGCAATAAAAGTAAAAGAATAATGCATGCAGTGATGATGCCCGAGATTTTCAGTAAAAAATGCACTGACAGTTTATGGTAAACATTTTTAATAAATTTTATTTATATTAAAATATCTGGGTGAACAAAAAAATATTTTTATTTAAAAGCTATAGGCATGCAATATGTACATAAACTAATTTTTAGATATAAAATATATAGCATGCATACACATTTTAGCTAAACACATTACTAACTCATAGACCACTTTAAACTTTAATGGATTTATAACTAATTTTGTTTTGAAAATGAATTTCAATAAACATCTAGAAAATACATAAGCGACAGATGACTAGGCATTTATAGCAAGTAACTGCTGAAAATGAACAGTCCAACAATGGGTTAGATGTTTTAAAACATTATAATTGTATTGTAATGGTGATAATCCACGCTGACATATACGTTTAAGTTATCTATCAGTAAGGTAATATTTGGAATATTTCAACTTTTGACATCACCTTGGAAGTTAAGCAGAGAAGCGTTAATATGAATTAGACATTCATGTAATATGAATTAGACATTCATATGGTATTTCTAATGTTGCACATTGAAAAAGAGTACTATTGTAAAGAAAAAATATATTAAATTATTGGTTATTAAGATACAAAACTAGGACAACATTAAAGAATACTCCTCTTAAACTGTTCTTCAACCATTCATTTGTATATGAAAGTTTCAAGCACAACCTGAAAGCCAGGACAGTTATGTTGCTCATAGGAATATTAGGAAAGCAACAGCCTGATCAGAAAAAAAAAAGGAGCTTATCTTGTGTATGATCTTAAATAATGTGATTGGCAAGAATTTACATGAATGAAAGGCTTTAAATGTGTCAACAATTTGTACAATTAGTAATCCTAGAATTAGAAGAAAAAGAATGCTGAACTTAAAAAACATTTATAAAAATAATAATTAAGCACTCCCCTTTATTTATTTATAATATACATCACCTGGAGAATTAATTTTTTTTATTTTTTAAATGGGAAAAATGTAAAAAATAATTGACTTGTTGCCAATTTAAATTTTCCAATTTTTTTTCTTTTTAAATATTGCTTAACTTTATCTTATATATTTTGAAATCATTTAATTTTAATTGAAGATCCAAACTTTGAAAGATGACTAGATCAAGTAGCCTTCCAAATTTTTACTTCACATGATATGTGGAGAACAGTAATTAGTGGACAATAAAATAATTGTAAAGAATCTTGGGCAGAATATCTAGCAAATATTCGATAAGGTACCGGTACCAGTAGTTTTATTCAACATTTCAGCTCATATTTAAAACTGCATTCGTTCAACACAAAATTATTTCACAGCTGTTACTTTTATGATATTTAACATGCATGGTTATCAAATTGTTCAAAGAAAACTGCTAATTACAAATAAAAATCTTGCATTTATTTATAATTTCCCCACTTATTTGATAAAAATAAAAGCAGAAGAAAAAAAAACATTGAATTAACATTATTTTTTGTAAAAAGAAATTGTCGACTTCAGATCAACAAGAGTGAGAAAGCAGAAATCTTTAAGGCAAATGAATCATTTTCATTAAATATGCATCTGATCATGCATCTGGTTTAAAGAGTATAAATGTAACACACACCAGCTAACAAAGTTCTAGTTTTGTGATAACACATTGGTAGAAAATGTACAAGTAGAAAACTAACAGAGAGCTATGCAGAATTGAATTTTTTGTTAATGCTGATGTCAGGCTCTCCTGTTTTTGTGGTTATTGGAGAACTACACTTCTTAGTAGTGTCTACATAACTTGTTACCGGTAATGAATTTTATATAACATACATTATTCAGTCTGTGTTAAAGTTTCTCTTAGAAGCTGTGTATTATTGGTATAAAATATACCTCTAAATTTTGATGAGTTAAATCTAAAGTACTGTTAATTTTTCTTCACAAATCAGCGAACGTTCACCACTTATGATGGTGTAGATTCATTTTTTAAAACTAACGAGTAAAAGAAAATGTATAGTAATTTATGTCATGTATAATTTTATATTTATGACAACGTGATTACTCAATCAATGTAGTCCTTCAAGAATCACCAAATATATGGTAGTTAACCCCAAGGCCATTTTATGATCCATCCTTTATTGCAACAAAATTCTCTGACAAACTTTATTAAAGATCAGATAGAGCAGCCTACTTACCTGAAATTTTTTAAGTGTTCAATTTTTTTTTAGTAATATAAAAATTAAAATATTGTTTAATGCCATTTAATTTTTTTTTTTAAATAGTTTGGATCGGTGGAACTACTTTTTGGGTTTGCAAGGTGATTGCTTATGTTTAGCAATAAAAACCAATTTTTAATTTTAAGACTCATTACTTATAAAGCAAATGTTTATGTTTGATGTAACCTGATCTATTAATTTCTTCTTATTACGACTCCAAGTGTGCTTCTTTTCATCACTACTACACCTTTGCTTCTTCTTAACATTACTACTACATCCCTCCTACTTTTCATTACTACTCCACCCGTGCTTCTTTTCATGTCACCAACAACTATAAAGGTGATTTTCAAACTAACTTCAATTAACATAAATACCTGGAAAAGAAGATTTTAAAACAAATAGATTTTTTAAAATTTAAAATTAAGCATTTTAAATAATTATAATTTCATATACTGGTACTTTTAAAATTTTGAGTAGGATTTTGAAAAAAATAATTGTTCCAAGTCATTAAGAGTTTATGTCATACTAAAATTTAGGATCAAATATTGATTGTGCTATATGAGGGAAACTTTGGAAAAATAATATGGAATATATAACTTAATATGTACTGGTAACAAACATAACTAACTTAAACACATTTCTGTTTCTTAATGTTGTTATACATCGAATTTGAAAACGCATTGAACAAATGTGGGTTTTCTAATATTATTTTGGTTTTTATCTTGCTTTAAAGTTAGAGAATGACTCCCAGGCATTTAAATAAATTTATTTCCCTGAGGAAAATTGACCTTCAATAATATAATAGATCAATACACATTTTTTATCAGGCTTTATAAATTAGTATTCCTTGAAGAAATAATTAAATAATATTTAATAGGCAACTCACATAAATGCAACAGGCTCAAGAAAGAGATTACAGTCCAGTTGTGTAATAGGTTTAAATCTAATTAGGCTTTCAAGCTAATGTCAGCATTATAGTCCTTATTTTATTGTAAGTTGGAAAGTAAATATAAGAAACAAAGATTTACTTACATGAACTTTCTCATGTTATTTCAGGCTGAACTTCTCTTAGTAAAAACTGAACACACAAATTTAGAAATACCATCCCTAAATTTTGAAATAGAGGTATGTGGGGAAAATACAGGATTTAAAAAAATTTTGGCATATCTTCCAAAGAGCTTAAATAAAAATTGCTGTGAATTTGACATCAACTCACTGAAGTCTGCTCCTAATAGTAGGCCTACTATTAGTAATAGAACAAATGTAGTTAATAGATTTTCGTTTTAAAATATACCATACTATGATTGAAATAATGACAAAATGTTGTTGTTGTTTTTTTTGTGGCTAAAGAAATTTGGAGTGGGATGATATTTTATGGATTTCAGGGCTAATAGAGGTGACATATAACATATATTGCTTGATTTACCTCGTCATAGGAAGACTGACTTTATGCACACAGAGGTAGAGTTTAAAACTTTAATAGCATGCAAAGATTATTTTTTAACACCTTGAGCGAAGCAAGAACAAAATCAAAATCACATCTGAACTGCACACTAACACTATCATCTATTTCTAGCGAACAGTTGTTAATTGCATTTTTTTAAAAATATTTCAGAACTTTATTTTCAGATCAGGATGTATGGCAGCTAATATTTAAAAAAATGGATCAATGAATGAGCTTTACAAATCAATTACATTAAACTAAAGAATAGTAAAACTAAATTAAATAGTGATAATTTAATTTAATCTAGGAAGAAAATAAATTTAAAAGACCATTTTCCAATTGGAACATATTTACAATGACATTATACATCTGAAACTCACAAAAAAAGCACAAAATAAAAATATTTACAAAATTACATAAAAAATTAATGTACGGTATATGCTTTTTTATCTCACAACATTAATTAATAAAGATATCATTTCAGCTAATAAAACTTTGTAAATGAAAACAAAAGTGTATACAACTGACAAGTTGATAGAATAAATTATTTGTAATAGAGTGTAAATGACAACCAAGTTGGGATAAAATTATGAAAAATGAGTTTCAAGAGAAACAAAAAATCAGCACAACAATCAATAATTTCACAACATTAGGATTCATAAAGGAAGTTGGTGTGTTCCATCTTCAAATCCAAGAAAACATACGTCTGTCATTATCATGAGCTTGTTTCAAGACAAACTGTATTACTATACCTCTGACCAGATCCTGTCTGAGTTGTTCCTATTTGGAGTAATGTTAAGGCCCGCGTGTCAACAAGACATACATTTTAAGTGGCAGAACTCTTGAGAATTTTATTAAAGAAGAATAGTAGGCAGATCATGTCTTTTAGCCAATTATTACATTAACTGAAGAATTAATAAAATTTTTGAAGACGTAAATAAAAGCTGCTCAAATTTACATTTTTATCCTGTAAAGAAATGCAGCACTTTTTTTTACAAAAGAAATTTAAAAGTCATAATTAGATAACTGTTGAGAACATTATTTTGTTTGACATGTCATAAGTTTCAGAATCCTTTCAACACTGGAAAACAATTAAAAACAATTTTAAATTCACTATTTATTACTACGCAATTTTTATATTGCTAAAAGACAAAAAAATAAACAAGCAGGGCATCTCCAGTTGTATATACAGTATAAGAAATATTTTTTTTTGAAAAGAGTAGTTGAATAAAATTATAGCAGGTAGCACCAGTTGTATTTCACAAACTTAACTATTTTAAAAAAAACATTAAATGTCTGGCAAATATGCTATGAAAGCTTGTTAACTTTTTTTCTAAATATGCTCTCTAGAACAATCATGTTGAGCTTTTACCAGTGTCTTTCTTTATGTTCTGACCATGCCACTGATCCTAAGTGTGCTTGTTTTTTTATTACATTCTTTGTAGCTTTACATTTCTTCTGGGTACTAATGAGTTAATATTGCCACAAATTTTTAACAGTTCAAAACTATTCAATGCATTTAAGACAATTGTATCATTGAGAAAACTGACTTTATGTATCAGTACTGAAGATAAATATATTAAATGTAAAAAGAAAAGTGATAAAGTCTTCATTTTAAGTCTAGAGAAATATTCACCAATTTTTTAATTTTTAAAAAAACAAACATTTTATTTCAACATGGCCTAACCGTTTATGATGATTTTGTGCATGAATGTTATCAGATACATTTTAACAAACTTTATCATTGAACCCATTGAAAATTGGGTTCTGTTCATCAAATATTGTATAACTTTATGCTTTTGTCCAAAATTGTAAATTTTAAAGCTTGCAAAAAAATAATAATAATAATGTAACAATGACAAAAACTTTTTAAAAATCTGTCTTAATTTCAATTTAACACTTGATAACGAAAAGTTAAAAGTGTTTGCAGCACAGAACAAATTATAATGCAACTATTTTTAAAAAATACGTTAATTTGTGACTACAAAAAGAGCACCAGTACTAATAACATAGTTCAAAGCATATTAACTATTCTGAAATCACCATTAAAATCTAAGGCATGATGAACTTATATCCTTACATTTAGATGCAAAATTACAATAATTTTTCAATTAAGGAATCAACAATATGGGAGTGCTTAAAAAGAATACATTTTAATAAATTTGTTTTCCTGAACTGTTGTCCCAAAAAGTCAATGGATTAGAACACTTATGGCAGGCCTAACAGTTCATTTCCAAGTTATGGCAGGTGATATCCCACCCACATAAAAATGCATTGTATTCAGTTGATTTTTGTGTGTGTGTGTGAGGTTATAAAGTTAAAAACATAAAATAAAGGCAAATCTGTATCAGACAACCATAAGAATTTTAAAAAGCACTCTTAAATACCCAAGATCTAACTTATTTTAATAAGGTACATGTAAGCTACAAAGTAAACTAATTTTATTATTGCAACATTTACAAAAAGACTTAAAATTAAAAGCAACAGAGTTTTTAAGACCAGTAATAACAGATCGAGTGCCCTCTAAGGAAACTAATCTGGACCACAAATCACTTAGAAGAATTCAGGGTCAAACAAAACTATTATTTTGGTTGACACTAATCAATGTTTTGTGGTGTAAATATATTTTCTGTGAAAAAATTAATAAAGTCTTGAAGAGGTTGGAGGACCTCATTTTTAGAAAACAAGAGGCGTTAGAGCATATCGGTATGTGCCACCAAATATTATTCATCACTGCCAGCAAAACAACAACATCCAAATTTATAATAATATCAGTGCTAATTTAAAATTCTAGAATCCATAAATATTAGTTCCATAAAGTTATTATCAGGCTATAAGTCCCATTCGACTGACTTTAGCAGACAGAAAAGTGTGAATGACGAACACAATGGGTTTTGGGCATGTGTTAAGATCCAGTTCCTGAAGTAGAGAAGAATAGGTTACTCCTAATAAGTATATGAAATACAAAGGTTTAGTTAGTCAAATATACATTTCTCTGTTCATTTTGTTGTTACTCTCTGATTTTGTAATTACAAACCATATAACTAACAGTATTGAAATTGGTAAAAGTATGTTTGAACATCAGGTATATCCTAAGTTAATTACAAAGTCATCATTCCCTGATCAACAATGCTTTCACCTGGCACTGAGATATTATTGCAAGACAATTTGGGGAGGTGGCAGGATTAAACCATAATCAACAAGTTAAAAAAAAAAAGGTTTAAATGATTTGCAATAAGTACATAACTATCCAAAAGGTGATAAATTCTTACTTGTTCTCCTATATCTGCAAAGTCAAGCCACAATAATCTGTGACCATCATCAGATGACATGCGTAGATTCTCAAAAGGGTGAGCCCACAGTATTTCTCCTGGACCTTCGGCCCCTTCAATTTCTTCCCTAAGAGTGAAACCTTCTTCATAATGAACAGTCAGTTTAGCTTTCTTGTGTTTCCATACAGCAGCTGTTATGTTAAATTTGAGAGATTAACATTACTATAACAGCACCCTAGAAGAGACAACAGTTATTTATGTGTGTCTGGTTATGAAGGTGAACTCTTAGCTATTTCTTTTATAGTTTAGCACGACTTGGAAATACAGATTCTCAACAACAACAAAGTCAACTACTTACTTGAATAACATGATTGTGAAAATGTTTACCTACACATTTATAATACAGCTCATAGAAAATGCAGCTCATTGGGTTTTAATCTTTATTTTGAAGTGTTATTATTGTACGGACCATTATCACACTACCGAAATATGTTTAAATGATACATATACATTGACAATTGACATCAATTTCTAAAATTGGTAAAACATAATTCTTTTTAAAAATCTTTATAATTATGAGAATTTCTTTTGGTGTTGAATCTGTATCATTATTTTTTTTTACAGATATTGGCTTCATGGTTCAAATTTGACAGCTTTAGTAGGGGACGTGGGGGAACATTTAATTTAAACAGACTGCACACTGGACGCCACTAAGGAAAAATCATAAAATGCACCCCACGACTTACAGCAAGACACTTGTTTTGTGATAATGGCAGCACCATGAGAACCTTGCACCAAGGCACGGGACCAGAATGCCAGGTCTCTTTGTGTCTCTACACGAAATATGTGCACTTCTACACCATTCCTTGAACCAGACCTTGTACCGAAAGACATCACATCTGCACCAGTCATCTGACTACTTTGTTTACCACAGTGGACTAGCCTGATAGGGATTACAGATACACATAATAATATGTAGTATCTTATCTTTTAAACAAAGTACCATTGAAGTCTTAAAAACTTCAAAATCATTTTTAAACAGCAAGTAATTGAACTTTAAACAAATGTTAATATTAAAATCAAGCTGAAAACACAAATCTAATCCAGTTTAATAGTATCATAAAATAAAAAAAAAACTTTGAGTTTTTAAAAACAAAGCTCTTGGAATTAAAAAGAAAATGAACTATTTCTTACCTTGTTGCTAACAGTGGGTGAGATTGAAATGGTGTGGCCCATTCTTCTTTGCTCCATGGCGCTGTATCATAGAGTAAAATATCTTTATCTGTGAGTGCCATAAACACAGGTTTCCATAAAGTGGTTCCTTGTTCTCCTGGGAGCTGATTGAAGAAAAAATTTAATAGACAATCATAAAAAGTTTGAAAACTATAGGGTCCACATTTTCACTAAATTAAGAGTAAACAGCATCATACCTCATGATCCAATTTATACACCAAGTACTAGGCAAAAAAAAAAAAAAATTATTTAAAATAAAAACTATGACACTCAGTTTGTGACGTTAAAATTATAAGCTTTAAATTTCTTTGAAAGAATGGCAAAAAAATAAATTAAAAAATAAACAAATATTTTCTAAATTTTACATTGGGATAAACAAAATTTAAAAAAAACATTCAATGATCCAGTGAAACAATTTATGTTCCTTACCTGCTCTGACAACCAACCCATGTGTCTTATTTCATGTTGATTAGGAGCAGACCTCAACATTTCATTTGCATCTTCAACAGCTTGTTTAGTTAGCATCATGACATTTGAATGAACTGCATTAAACCAATCAGAAGCTGTTGCAGGATCAGGAAAGCGTAAGGTACAGACCCCCTTGCCATCTGGGGAGTGTAACTCCAATGTCCTTTTCTCTGAATCTGGGACAGTCAAATTTCTGCATAAATAGCACATCTTTAAAGGCAAAGTTTTTGTTTCTGACCAACTGGATTTAGCACCATCTTTCTGAGCTGAGTCTTGTGTGCCCCATCCTAATTCATTGAGCGGGGATGACTTTCGAAAATAAGGTGTAACTTCTCTGAGGTATTTTACTGTGGAAATAAAAACAGAGTCATTAAAATTCAATGGTGAAAAACATCTCAACAGTAACTTTATAGTAAAAGCTTACACATCAGAAGTGTACAAGGTGAATAAATAAATTAAAATATATACTAGCACAGTACACTTGAGATTTGTTTAACATGATAGTCAGAAGTTTTCATTTAGTGTCAAAATCTCCTTTAGCCTGAATGTTTTTATCTTAATTCTTGAGCACTTTTTTCAGGTTTACTTTCATTCAAGCTCCCAAAAGATGACAAAGAAATCTAAATGTGAAGGTGGTGAGTAAGAGAGCATTTTCTTGATTACTGAGAAGGAATTAGTTAACATCTGCTTTATTGGAATACAGCATTGAGTAGTATTTAAATAAGCTGTTGCATGAGAGAAAATCAATATCACTGTAATCATTTTTCTTCAAACCCCTGGCAAAAGATTTTTTTTGCAACTTCTACTGAAAGAAGCATCATCTCTCAAAGAGATTCATTACTGATAATTTTGCTGGAGACTATTCCCAAAAAGAATCCTCCACATCTCCATCATATCAAAGTTTTGCATATACAATACCAACAATGCCACATTCATAACAATATAAAAAAATTGAGCTTATTATTATCTTAGCCTTTGTTCAATTTGAATGAAAATGATATGTCATGTGACTTAACATTCATAAGGTTACAGGAGTAAATATAAGAACATTTAAAAAGACCTAAATTTAAAACTTCAGCAAATGTTACATTTTAATTGCTGGAAACTGTTAATTTACCTAAATTTAACATGGGTAGATTTCCCACAGAACTAATTAGTGACATTTAAAGAGGGTCAACTTAATATGAATCTTCTTACACAAGTTTTATAAAAAGATATTAAAATGTCAAAATATGGATTAGAACGGATAAAAAGGGCTTCAAAATAAAATAATAATTTGTATACCGGGTACATAAAAAAATACCTTCCATTTCCACAATTCTCCCAGCCTTTTTCAGAGCCTTAACAGCATCATCATGGGTTGCTTCCCTTAAATCTTCCCCATTTACTGACAAAATTGCATCACCAACATACAGTTTCTCTGTTTTGTCTGCTGCCATGTTCTTGAAAATTTTTGATATAAGTATTGGCATGCGGTTTTCTTTGCCTCCTTTAATGCTGATGCCCAAGCCATGCTGCTCTTCTTTAATAACCTAGGAAAAACATATTTTAATGGATTTTTAAGATCGAACTATCTCCATACTTAAGATTGACATGTTATTTCACTAAAGAAAATAATGTGATCTCAAGAAAAATTGATGTTCTGTTAAATTCATGGCTGAAGATGTTTATGAATGAAACCCTCATCCCAATTCAAAAATTTCTAAAAAATAAATATAATATATACAAGGGCCACTAAGGCTAAGGAGCCATCCAAAAATGATGTCACACAAATTTTGCAGATTTTAACACACCCCTCTCTTCCCTATTATCACAAATCATCATGAAAAGTTAGACAACTCCGCGCCCCCCCCCCCCCCCCCCCCCCCATATAAGGTTACAAGCCTCTGCACCCAATAAAACATCCCTCTTTCCACAACTGTCCTTCACAAACCCTTAAAAAATTCAGCTCCTATGGATATCGAATTATTGTACCTGCCTGTGTCAGAAACCTTTCACTAGAACAGTGGTTCTTAACTAAGGGTCAAAGCATTCCCTAAGGTGCGGAAGACCCAGAAAATTGTATGGTAAAATTACATCCCATTTCCGACACAGGCGTTTGAGTCTGGACCATAATGTCCATAATGATAATCTAAATTTTAATTTAACTCAACAAAGTTGACATATAATATAATTAAAAGGTATATTACAAATACCAGTCAAATAATTTTAAAAATTCATTTTTGACTAGCAATAGTAAATGTTTTTCTGGTGAATTTTGTTTGCGCATTACTTGTATTGGTAATTTTTTTTTGTTTCTAGAAAGTTAAATAGTGTTAGAGAAATAAAAGGACAATAATCCCTAATTCTATGACTCCCGTCTCCACATAAATTTTCACGACTGTCAATGTCACTACACCCATATTCTCCTCCTCCGTGGCGGCCTATGCCTATACTATAACTTTATCAGAGGCCATTTTTCAGACCTTGCATACCTGTACTGATTCTCTCTTTGATCGTTTTTAAAAATAAAATGACTATAATTGTTGTATCAAAGAATAAAGTTAAAAATTTATGTAATTTAGTGCATTTTTGTACTTTCATATTCCATTATTGTAAGGGACCAAATGATGTCACTTGTCAGGGAGGGGGGAAGAGGGGGTCAGATTTTTGTGATGACTAGGACTAGGTGAATTGTTTTTGAATTTTTATAGGGGGGGGGGGGTGGTGGTGCAGAGAATTGAGAGATTTGTGACGTTATATTTGAGGGGGGGGGGGGGTCTAACTTTTTGTGACGATTTTTTTTTGGGGGGGGATCGGCAAAATTTGCTTAACCTCATTTATGGATGGCCCCTATTAGCCTAGTGAGACGCGGTACGTGCCCCTTATTAACCTGTAGTTAATGAGGTAAATTAAACACAGTTGCAGAAAATCTAATTACCTTCACTAAGCGCTTTTGGCCAGTAATTGATTCGGGCAAATCAGCATTTCCATTCGTTAATCCATGTCCTGCATCAACAGACCCGTTCGATGCCGCTGACTGATCAGGGTTTTCAGTAAGTGTCAACGTGATTGATTCTTCATTTAAAGTTACACTAACGGGACACCATTGCTGCCGAATAAACACTTCGAAAGCTCCTGACCGCGGCATACCGTTAGCCATTTTGGTTTACAATTATTTATAAACACACATCGCTTTAGCCTTTAAGTTGATCCCTGATCGTAGAGGAAGTAATCGTCCTGTGCTCATCTCGAATACGGTACATTGCAATAGCCTACGATTTCAAAATGTCGTAAAATATATAACTAACTGTAACATGACAACAATCTATTAAAAAGCTTAAATTAAATAACTGCCATTTCTATTAGTGAAAATTCTGAAACTATTACAATTTTTTATGTTAATAAATAATTTATGGAACTGGAAAGCTGTTAAATATATCGATAACGAAAATTAAATTTAAAACAAACGATTCGTTTCATAATACCACAAACTTAACTTTATTATACATTAACTAGAATAAATGACCGATATTATTGGGATAATAATGGCAGTTCCTTATCGATAATTTCTACTGGCTATGGGGTCGTTCATTATTTATGTCAACAAAATAGGGGGGAGAGGGTTTGGAAATGTTTGACAATTGTTGACAAAGGGGAAGGGGTAGTAGATTAAATGACACCAACAATCATGTTTTCTCTAATAAATTTTAATCTTCAAAATTGACTGGTAGTTACACTATTTTAACAAATTTAATGAGTGTAAATTAAAATAGTTATATAATTTTTAGGCTTTTAAAAATATAAGATATATTTAATGTGTGTCTATCTGTTTAATGCTGATGGCTGGTCAGAATGTTAGTACATTTAGTTAATTCAAGAGAAGTCAAAATTTATCCTCTCTTCACTGTAAATTCTATTTGTCGAAAATGACTAGGGTGGTATGTTTGCGGTTATGTTGCAGGTATGGAAAAAGCACAAGGTTCAAGAGTCATGTGCGGTTAAGATAAATGATATTGATAGAGTAGGAATGCAATCTTTTGAGAATTAAGGGAAGTAAAGTGAGTAACAATAATAACATCACTGCTTGAACGGATTTGCAAAATATGTAACATCTATTTTGCATCACAAGTCATGCTCAAATCAAATTCAACAGCACCGATAATGCATAAGAAATTACTACCTGCTCCTCAACAAAAAGGATCCAACTAATGCAAGTAGCTGCCATGAGACAGAGAGCCATGGAGCTAGGTCACATACCCGAAAGTCAATGCGGTTTCCGCAAAGAATGCGGAACCGTCAATATGGTGTTTGCTGCCAGGCAGCTTCAAGAGAAATGCCAGGAGCAAAATATGGACATATATTCCACATTTATCGACCTGAATAAGACTTTTGACTGGGTCAATTGAGGTGGCCTGTGGAAAATCATGAAGAAGTACGGATGCCCAGACAAGTTCACCAACATCATCCGTCAGCTGCATGATGGCCCAAATGCAGGACAACGGTCAGTCATCTCAAGCATTCCCTGTCGCAAACGGTGTGAAACCGGGCTGTGTCCTAGCTCCCACACTCTTCAGTATTATGTATTCTGCAATGCTGTCTGTTGCGTTCAAGAACTCCACCACAGGCTTGCAAATCCGGTTTCGCACCGATGGACCAGTCGTCAATCGTAGGAGGCTTCAAGCTAAAACCAAGGTCAAACATAACACCATCAACGAGCTTCTGTTTGCGGACGATCGTGCCCTCAAGGCTGCCTCAGAAACCTCCATGCAACACATCGTTGATGTCTTCTCTGAGGCCTCACAATCAACACAAAGAAGACTGAGGTGATGTATCAGCCAGCTCCCAGTAAGCCCTACGTGACTGGGTGGCCAAATGGTCTAAACTGAGCAATCCTCAAGTTGGTGGTCTGGTGTTCAAGTCCAGCCAAAGGCCAGTCAAGCAAAAACATCACACCGGGTGGATGAGACTCGTTAACCTTGGTCGGCAACTCATCTAAGAGAAGGAAACTCTGAATTCAAACCCAGAGTTGGAGTCCCGTAAGGCGCAAACAATGACAATTCCTGCAACCGACCCCATCCCTGGTCGCCTTGACGTAGAGTCTTGCCACTGGATATGGTGGGCTCGGACGAGAGAGTGAGGTAGACGCCGCGCAACTCTTCTTCACTTTGTCTTTGTCCAACGCGCAAGTCATCAGTCACCAGACGACTCGATGGTCTTCGTCGTTACTCGACGGACGAACAATAAAAAAGCCCTACGTTGAACCTACCATCATAACCAGCGGGCATCGACTTAACGCGGTAGATAAATTTACTTACTTAGGCAGCACCCTCTCCAGATATGTCGTCATGGATGATGAAATGAATACCAGACAGCTAGTGCCAGATTTGGCAGGCTCCACAGCATTGTTTGGGATAGGAGAGGTATCAGACGAGAAATGAAGATCAAGGTCTATAGCGCAGCAGTCATCTTGATATTGCTCTACGGATGGACAGCCTACCAGCGTTACGCCAAGAAACTAAACCACTTTAACACAACCTGCCTCAGGCATAAGGTGGCAAGACAAAGTACCTGACACGGAGGTTTTTGGTAGAGTGAACCTACCTAGCACCTTCACCACCCTGATGCAGTTCCAACTCCGTTGGATGAGACACGTAAGGAAGACAACCGGCTTCCAAAAGAGCTGTTTTTCGGTGAACTCATGCTAGGCAAGCGCTCCTAAGCAAGTAAAAAATAAAAACGTAACAAAGACTGGCACTATTGAATGGGTGCAGACAGCCCAGGACAGAGCCGTATTAGATCACTGACTGCAGTAACTATCCCCTGCCCGCGGTGCCAGAGATTATTCCGAGCACGGATCGGACTAGCAAGCCACTTACTAGCTCATCGTAACTCACTGTACATCAATATACTCAGATTAAATTGAGTTCACGATATCATTATACGATACCAATAACAATTGTTTTGAGAAATATTGTTATAAGATTAAGCTTTTAGAAAACGTATACTATATTATTATATTTTGCTTGTGTCAAAATGGATTTTGACGTTGAAAACCCATGAGTAGAGGCATTAGACAAATGTTCTAGAAAGGAGCTATTTTAAATTGCTAAAGATTTAGGAATAAATTAAACTCATTCGGCAGTAAAAAAGAGACCGTACGAGATATGATCATCGTCCACTTAGTGGATAAGGATGTGTTGTCGGAGATCGAACTGGCCTCAATCACACAACCGGATGATCCTAGTTCCTCCGGGAAAAGGAACGGCTCCTGGACAAGTGGGTTCACGCAACCAACACCGACACAGACTTCAAAAAGTTCAAGAACCTCATTCTGATGGAGGAGTTCAAGAATTGTGTTCCTACAGAGGTACGACTACATATTGCAGACCGTGGCGAAGGTGACGCACATACGGCTACAGTGTTTGCTGATGACTTCACCATCTCACATCAACTCTCAAAGAACCCATTTGGCACCAAAAAAGACAGGCACAATAAGACAGCTTACATTAAACCTCCACAAAAATCATACATGCCTGGTACAAAAGAAACAAGTGCTAAAGACACATGTGCCTACTATAAAAAAGAAGGACATTCGAGGGATGAGTGCTGGAAACTCAAGAGGAAAACTGAGAAGACCACACATCCTGGTACACAACACAAAGTCTCCGCTTGTACGTCTCGTCATACATCTGGAAACACATTTTCAAAATTCAACAGTTTTTGCTCTCCAGATGTCCATACAAACTTCAAAGAGGTTTGTCACGACTCAACAAAGAGATTCAATATGAACAATAAGGCTAGTTTTACCGACTCCAGCCGACTTCTTCGACTGAGAGTTTTATGAGCTTGTCGCCAAGATCCTTTTGCTCCAAGATAAGAGGGCGTTTTAATGAAGACTTGTGTGAAAGTTTTAAGGATTCTACACATATTTTTACTTCTTTTACCCTAGCCGAATGTTCTCAAGGCTCCAACAAGAGTTTACCTACCAAGGTCCAAACTTCTACATCAGACACTACTGATGTCATACAAGACTTCATGCCTTTCGTATCGGAAGGATTCGTATCACTGCCAGGTGATTTTTCCAGTCTACGACCAATCAAATTCTTACGAGATACAGGTGCTTCACAGTCCTTGCTACTTAAGGGTATACTTCCCTTGTCTGAATCTACTGCTACTGGGAGCAACATCCTGTTACGAGGTGTAGAGCTGGGATGCATTGATGTACCCTTGCATATCATCAATGTCAAATCAGACCAAGTCTCCGGACCTGTGGTTGTGGGTGTCCCACTAACACCACCTTTAGACGGCATCTCGTTGCTGCTAGGCAATGACTTAGCTGGTGGGAAGGTAATAGCCGAACCCATCGTTACTCATGAACCTTGTTTCACTGAATATCAGGAAGAAGATCAAGAATTGTATCCAGCATGTCGTGTGACAAAGGCCATGACTTCCAAGATCTCCAAAAAAGAGATTTCACAAAAAAGCAATACAATCTTTCCTGAAATTGACCGTGAAAAAACATTTTTTTTGGCCAATCTAAACGAAGAGTCAAGGAATCACAAGAATCCAACTTGAATGCAACTTATTGAAGAGCAGAAGAGTGATCCAGAAATATTCAAACTTCGTGAGAACGCTTTAACCCAAGAAGAAACTGAACAACTCCCTGTATGTTACTATATTCAAGATGACATACTTATGAGAAAATGGCGACCTCCAGACGCAAATGTTGACGAAGAATGGAGGATAGTTCATCAAATAGTAGTTCCTACACCATTCCGGAAAGAAGTCCTGAACTTAGCCCACGATTCACCACTTTCAGGCCATTTGGGAGTAAACAAGACATATCACAAAATCACGTCGCACTTCTTTTGGCCCAAAATCAAGAAAGATGTGGTTGACTACTGCAGATTATGTCATACTTGTCATGTGGTAGGGAAACCAAATCAGAAGATACCAGAAGCTCCTCTTCAACTTATTCCCGTGTTCGAAGAACCTTTCAGTCGCTTGATTATAGACTGCGTTGGACAAAGACAAAATCAGGTCACCAATACTTGCTGACAATCATGTGTGCGTCAACAAGGTCCCCAGAAGCGATTCCCCTTTGCAATATCAAGACTCCAAACATCGTCAAAGCCCTGACGAAGTTTTTTACATTGTTTGGTCTTCCGAAGTCTTTACAGTCTGATCAAGGACTATTCAAACACGTCATGAACCAATTGGGCATAGAACACTGCTTATCGAGTGCATATCATCCTGAGTCACAGAGAGCGCTTGAGCGATTCCATCAGACGTTGAAGAACATGATGAGAACGTACTGCCTAGAACAAGAGAAAGAATGGGATGAACGAATCAACA